GGTTTTTGGATATGTTGGTCACCCAGATCGGGGCTACCAGAGGATGTGACTTTGTGGGGTTTTCATGTAGTGTAAAGGTACTTTTGGGGGTGTCTGTGAAATGTGTGTTTTTTTGTTCCAGGACATAATTGGGTTTTGTACAGGAGTATGTTAGATGTTTGCTTGTAACTAGTCTCCTCTCAGGTCCAGAGGGAGGGGTTAAACTGTTGTGTCGGAGTGTTATGGGCATGTTTGTGTCTAAACTGTATAAAAGCAGCTATTCTGGCCAGATTAAAACATTCCAGCTTGTACACCCAGAACTATGTGTTGTCTGGTCACATGGATGGGAGAGGGCTAATCACTGTTCCAGTGTGGAGGATTCATCCGAAAAAGTCCTTATAAGCACTAGAACTCCCAGGACCGAGTGTCGTCCAGTGCCTGGGAGTGGATAGAGCACGTTCCCCCATTTGGCTCCAGGACCCCAGTCAAGTCACGACGACTAGGGACAGGAGTGCTGAGGTTTGTCCCCTGTTCCAGCTGAGAAGCAGTCCTTGGTGGAGGTACCCAGCCGTGGGTACCTCTCCGTTACATTTATATATTGACTTTGTGGCAGGCTAATGCAATATATGTTCCTATAATGTAAGTAAACCCCAATTATTATTTTTTGCCTAGGTGAGGTGTTTTAAAATAAAACTATTACAACCTCTAAGATTTGAAATAATTGTTTAGTGAATAAGCGAGTGCGCTGGATTGTATATTTTGGCCCCAGCAGCACTCTATAATGTATGCATGTTCAGGTGAGTGCAGCCATCTTGGTTATACATAAACAAATATCTGCACACTGGTCAAGCCATAAGACTCATTTCTCACAGGAATAACGAATTTGCAGTGATGTTACTACCGCAAACGATTCTGGGTGGGCATACGCAAATTAGTTCAAGAAAGAATCACATCTGTGCCTCATTCCATTTTAAACATGGATTCCTTTGTGTTTGCTATATATAACAGCTTTGAAACACTACTTAGGAAAAGATGCAAAGTCAGTGAACCACTCATGGACATCTGTTTCATTGTTAATGCAAATCATCAGCATGAGGTTGGTTACTGGCTTGCTGTTGAGGCTTGGCAGTACTTGACATATCAGGACTTTTTAGGATATTTTTATTTTTTTTTTTTTTACTAGTATCTGCAAATAAAGCAGGTACATTCAGGTACACATTTAAAAAAATTTCTATATGCATGAAAAACAAAATTAAAACAAAACACGCACTTACCCTGTGGACTGATCTTTATAGCATTCTCTAGAATTTACAAATGCCTACAAAAGAAAAACCATGTATATATATTTACAGAAAATACACACTGTTAGAATACAAGAAAATCACCCATCAACACCATTCTGTAAACCATGTAGTCCCTTACATTACACCTGTGACATGACATAAAAGTTAAATTTATAATCCCTCTCACCCCCCAAAACATTTTCATTCACATTTCATGAGTATCCATAACTTCTAGTAAACACCTGCCCAAACCTGGCGATGTAGAACCAAACCAAGAAAGACTCATATCCTTCTTGCTCCTCACACAGGAAATCCCCAGTTAGCTATTTAGAGAGTAGGTAGAGGAAACTAGCAGGAAAGAGGTTTTTCTTCTACCCAGATTCCTTTGTACTTCTATCAGGCATAAGCAACCAGGGAAATAACAGGTAAGGGATCTCGTGGACCACGACCACGCAGATTAAAATTAATCTGCAGAATGTTAATGTAGTTATCGTCCATGAGAATCCATTATATATGGGATGAGGTTTACCCAAGCAGCACAGACACAAGTTACGTAAACATGTAGGGCACAGAAAAGGCAATTGCTTGCAGAACTTTCCTGACAAACGGAAAGACTCCAAACTACAATGTGAATAAGAAGTAATAAGGGAAAGCCCATGACATGCCTGACATCTTTTGCATTTTGATACTCTGTGGTGGACAAAAATCGATTGTCTCGCAGAGCAGGGGACAACCTGAAAGCATGAATGATCGTCCAAAACTCTAGACCAGATAGAGGTAGACACCCAGATATTGTATGCCTTTCGAATGTCAAAACATCATAGAAGCTGCAGTTTTACAACATTTGGTGATCTACTTTTTAGGTACCCCTACTCTACATGTGATCGCAAAGACCCCTCAATCACATTGGGAACGGATTGGACGGAGGGGGGTCTGCCTAAGCTCCCAGGCAGACCCTAGGATCCTGACAATCGTCAGGGACCCGGTAAGTACAAAGGATGGCGGGGACGTACCATGCCTGCCGGCATTTAGGATCGCCCCAAAATGGACGGCATAGCACACCCGCCATCCTTAAGGCGTTAATGTAACTATTGCTGCTACATTGGAGAAGGTGCTCAGCAAGGTCTTCCCATTCTACCCAATTAAACACGGTCGGCTCTGCCCCATGTCCACCCACAGGAAGTGGACGACTTGGAGGATTCTGACGGCTCTGATAAAGAAACTTAGAGGCAAGTAAAAAGACACTGGAAGGGTGCATGGGGAGGGGGTGTTGCTTTATGTAATGTACTGGCAAAAGAGGTTCCTTAGAGCTCACATGTTCTTAACATATCCAGGTTTTGTAGGTCCATTTGTTATAATTTAACAAAATGCTTTTTAAAACTTGATTTATTTTTTTGTTTTCTTCTTTCACGCAAACTAATTTTTACACATTTAGCATGTTATATTCCATATGTAACAAATTGAAAGTTTTATTACATTGGGAACATAAATGACAGACTGTACTCTGCATTTTAGGGTACTGATAAATATTTGTAATGTTAACACAATAAGGCCATATGGTGTATGTGAATCCCCATATTGGTTTGTAAAGGTGATTTTAACTATTAAGGACACATGATGTGTGACATGTCATGATTCCCCTTCATTCCAGAAGTTTGGTCCTTAAGGGGCTAAGTAGCCTTGTAAAATTTAAAAAACTATTTTATCACACCAATTGCAAAAATGTATATATTTCACATTTAGTAAAATAAAACATACCAGGTCAATAGGAGTCAATGTATACAACCAATTTACAAAACTCCTAAAGATTGGCATGGCAATAGCAACAGGGCATTGTTTGTAACTACGCAGATACAAAGAGCCATCTGGCCGTGTAGTACAAACAAATGTGTTGGAATAAAAAAAAAAAAAAAAAGGATAATTTAGCAGAAAAACTGGGTGACATTGGCATTTTACTTCTAACGATATTAAAATGTAACTTCTATTATGGTCTATCGTATATTAAGTGACTATTGCATTGTCAATCTTCATGAATTTTGTATTTGGGGTGTATACATTGACCCCTACTGGTAGGTTTTCATTTACTAAATGTAATAAAGATTACTTTTATTTTTCGCAAAGACCCCTCAATCACATTGGAACGGATTGGACGGAGGGGGGTCTGCCTAAGCTCCCAGGCAGACCCTAGGATCCTGACAATCGTCAGGGACCCGGTAAGTACAAAGGATGGCGGGGACGTACCATGCCTGCCGGCATTTAGGATCGCCCCAAAATGGACGGCATAGCACACCCGCCATCCTTAAGGCGTTAATGTAACTATTGCTGCTACATTGGAGAAGGTGCTCAGCAAGGTCTTCCCATTCTACCCAATTAAACACGGTCGGCTCTGCCCCATGTCCACCCACAGGAAGTGGACGACTTGGAGGATTCTGACGGCTCTGATAAAGAAACTTAGAGGCAAGTAAAAAGACACTGGAAGGGTGCATGGGGAGGGGGTGTTGCTTTATGTAATGTACTGGCAAAAGAGGTTCCTTAGAGCTCACATGTTCTTAACATATCCAGGTTTTGTAGGTCCATTTGTTATAATTTAACAAAATGCTTTTTAAAACTTGATTTATTTTTTTGTTTTCTTCTTTCACGCAAACTAATTTTTACACATTTAGCATGTTATATTCCATATGTAACAAATTGAAAGTTTTATTACATTGGGAACATAAATGACAGACTGTACTCTGCATTTTAGGTTCCCAATGTAATGATCCTACTCTTCAGTTTTTAAATTCTTCCAGACATTTTCATTTTTCCTTGGGAAAAACAAAAAACTAAATTGGGGAGTCTAACTGGCAGCATAGAAGATCAATCAAGAACGTGACTGCTAAATAAAATAATAAAACTTGCATTACTCCATAATGTTCAGCCATCTCTGAAAGAGCCAGTACTCTAAGCTGGTATTTCAGTGTAAGAAGCAGGAAGAATGTGGTGGCTGTATTAATGATTCAATGGACACTATTGCAACCAGAACTACAGCTTTATGTAGTAGTTATGGTGAGTATAATCATTGCCTTCAGTCATTTTAATGCAAACACTGCCTTTTCAGAGAAAAGGCAGTGCTTATATTGCTCCCTAGGGACACCTCCAAGTGGCCACTCCACAGATGGTCACTGGAGGTGCTTCCTGGGGCAGTGCTGTAGACAGAGACACAGTAGACAGCAATGCCATTCAGCATCTCCACGCTCTGCATGGGGACGCTGAATTTTCTGCTGTTTTCGATTTGCATTTTAATTTTGTGTTTCATAAAATATTCATTATAATAAGTAACAGTGCACAAGATCCAGCACACTCACTCATCTACTAAACAGTGATGGGGTATATTGATAGTGTGGCAGACTGATGCAATGTATGATCATACACTGTAAGTAAGCCCCCATTATGTTTGCCTAAATTGGGTGTTTTTAAATAAAACTATTACAATCTGTGAGCTTTAAAGTTGCTATTTAATGAATGAGTTAGCAGGATATTGTGTACTGTTACTTAATATAATTAATTATATTTTACAAAACAAAAAAACTAAAGCTGATCTGTCTATACAGAATGAAAAATGTCTGTATTGGCAGTCCACATAATAGTGAAAACTTGCATCTATGAAACCACATCAAATTAGAAAATAGAACGTTATGTAACTTTCATAAGCTTCCTGAAAGCATGGTAAAGGGGCATTGACATTCCACATAGTCTTACCTGAGTATTGGAGAAAAGTTCAGAAATTGAAATATCTGCATTTGCAACTAGATCTTGTGTGTCCAATCCATCGGTCTGACATCCTTTTTCATGTCTTATCAGACATGAGAGTTCTGTATTACTGGACACATCTCTTCTTTGTGCAGTTTTTAATTGCGGGAGACAAGGCGGGTCTACTGTGGGCATATCAGTATTGACTGCTTTTGAGATCGTATTTCTGATCACCTTTGAATAATCTGGAAAGTCTTCCTCTTCAAAGTAACTCAGTTCTAGGTCTGTCTGGCCATCAATGAAAATGGGTGAACTGGAATTACTGCGCAGACTGTAGTAGCTTCCGCTCCTAATGGACAAAGAAGTATCATCATTTAGGTCACTAGAAGAACTGTCTAGAATAATGAGTTCTTCACTAGTGCAAGTAAAATATTTATTCGGTTCCTCATCTGCAGAACTTATTTTGTCATCAAAAAACAATTCACTGCTTGCAAACATCTGGTCTTCTGTAATTCCAGAATCCTCAAAATGATCAAAACTGGGCACAAATTCTCTTACTGGTTTACCTTCCGTATGCATCTCCTCTTTTTCCTTGATGTTCTGCATTAGCAATCCTGAAGACCCTTCCATAAACATGGAGTCTCCAGTTGGATTTAACGGTAGTTTCTGACCTAAAGTCTCACAAATCACCTGATGGGATTGGGAAGTTCCATCACAATTTTGTATATACTTATCCATATATGGTTTTCCTTCCGGAGACTCGAAAACTTTATCATTTCTAGGCGATACTATTTCTTGAGGACTAACTTTGGATACAAGTTTATTTATAGGCTGGAAATTTGAATAAAGTTCATCTCCTCTGCCAACAAGAAAGGTATCTTCAACTTTGCTTTTGGTTGGTTTCTCTTCTTTATTTATTGCATTGTTGTAATAGGAGTCACCTTCAGATAAAAAGGATGTATCATAATTGCTGGACTCAAAAGCGTCTGTTTGGAAGAAATATTACAGATTGTTATGATAAACACATTTCAGCACATTATATCCCAATTTAAAGCAAAAATGCAAGAATAGACATAAAAGATGTCTAGAAGGCTAGATCTCAACTTACGGTCAGGGCCCTCTCTACCTTTTGTATTTGTTTGTGTATATTGTACGTTCTCCCCTAATTGTACACCACTGCAGAATATGTTGGTGCTCTATAAATACCAGTTATAAAATAAAAATCATTCTGCAATCAGAACATAAAAAATTTAAATCAACCAAAACAAAAAAAAAACAGGCCACCTAATCTAAACAAACATTACATTGCCATAAACACCACTATTCAATTTTTATAATAATTTCTATGAAGATTCTCAATTTCAGGCCCCAATGTGGGAAACAAGTCAAACTACTACTGAAAGAACCATAAAAACCAAATTGTTCCTGCTACCACGATACACAACCACACTATAATTTTAATGTAATTAATGCTTTAAAATCTGCAACAGGTTTAATTAAATCTATTGTTAATCTGAGTATTCTGCCAAAATGTAAGTCCAGAAATGTTAAAGTGTGCCTGTTCTGACATGTACAGATTTGCAGTTTGTTAACCATCTGGCTTGACATGTTATACAATTAAGAGTTTCTTTCCTTGAAATTTTTGAAAGGTCATATTCATTTCCATAACTCCTATCTTCTGTTAAAAGCATCAGTTAGGTTTTCAGTTTGTGTTACACTTGCTTTAATGTTTACCTCTCATACCACCTGTTTGGGAATCACAGACTTGCTCCCATAATAGGGTAAGAGTCCCCAATGATTTAAGTTTTCTTTATGTAAATAAAAATGCATATGTTCTCTCTACATTCTAAGCTTGCCTGTTCAAAGCGATAAATCATTCTGGCTGTTTCTCTCCTCCTGCTGTTGCTTTCACACAGAGCCAGCCCCTCCTCCCTACTTCCACTTGCTGACATTGCTTTCACTAGGGCTGAATTCAAGCAGGAGAGACACCCAGGAGGGTCTCTTTGATAACAGGCATGCAGAACACAACCTTCTCATCTCTCTGTGGTTCAGCACAGATTAAAATGAGAGGAGGGGGAAAGGGATGTATTTTAACCAATGATTTCAGAGAATTTTAGACATTTGCTAGGAATTCTTTGATCATTAAAAATTAAGTTGTATGTCATGACAGGTACTCTACAAATAAAACAAAATAAAAACAAAATGTTTAACAATATAGAATTTTTTTCATCAGTTTGATCATGGACCACGAGTGCCATAACAGGTTTGATATTGGATCCCCCAAATGGAGATGCAGATGAATCCCAGAATTCCATGTGATAAATTCATCCTTCCTGATACACCCAATGGAAATCCTCCGTTAACCTTCTAGACAAGCAGACAGAAAGAAAAACTGATAGTAAATGAGCAGAATAGAAACAAGACAACCTGGGCAGGAGCAAAACTACTATGCAATAGCACAGGCAACCTTTGGTACTCCAGATGTTTTGGACTACACCCAAATAATGCTTTGCCAGCATTATGGGTGTAACAGCATTATGGGAGATGTAGTCCAAAACAGCTAAAGTGCCGAAAGTTGCCAATCCCTGCACTAGCACCTTAAAGAAAAATACAGGGAGAGGCCTTGTTCATCGTTGCCATGAAGAAGAAAGTTGTCAGAAAGCATAGATTTAGTTTTTTATTGAAATGTGGTCACAATACATGAGAGCCAAAATGTGTGAGACAGTATACAGAAGCCATGATGCATAGAATTGCATAAAAAAATTGGATGGGCACTGATCATATGGTGCAGGAGAAAACAGTAACAAGTGCTTGTAAGACCTTTTATGCCAAACAAAGTAACTGATGCAAAGGCATCAACACAATAAAAAAAATGCCCAATAACTGATGCCTGGCACGGAGGACATATGCCATCATGTTTATTGTCTGGATTCTGCATTTGTTTAGAGATGCAAACAACTCCAGATTGAGATCCCGTTTTCCTTCCGGGTGTAAGATCTGATGGCTGAGAATTCAGCCTCTCAGTCATCCTTCCAAAGTAGAATTCCATGTACCTCAACCTAGGCAGCAAGACTCCTTTACCCCCTGAAAGTGTGAGTGTACAATGTTTAATTTCCTTACTCTCTTGAGAAGCTTTTAAACTTACTACACTTTCAGTCCTGTTTGTTTTTCGATTGTTTGTCATTACATACATTCCCTAAAGGACACTTCAGGCGCTACACTTTCTTTTCCTGTTTTATCCTACCCCACATCGGACTAAGAGGCTCCGTTTTTGGCGATTGAGCTGATTTTGGACTATATCAGTATTGTACAAGTGCAGATTTTTTTCCTATTTTTATCATTTCGATCAATGTTAATATTAATGTAAGACCCACGGATATATTGGGGTACTGATAAATATTTGTAATGTTAACACAATAAGGCCATATGGTGTATGTGAATCCCCATATTGGTTTGTAAAGGTGATTTTAACTATTAAGGACACATGATGTGTGACATGTCATGATTCCCCTTTATTCCAGAAGTTTGGTCCTTAAGGGGCTAAGTAGCCTTGTAAAATTTAAAAAACTATTTTATCACACCAATTGCAAAAATGTATATATTTCACATTTAGTAAAATAAAACATACCAGGTCAATAGGAGTCAATGTATACAACCAATTTACAAAACTCCTAAAGATTGGCATGGCAATAGCAACAGGGCATTGTTTGTAACTACGCAGATACAAAGAGCCATCTGGCCGTGTAGTACAAACAAATGTGTTGGAATAAAAAAAAAAAAAAAAAGGATAATTTAGCCGAAAAACTGTGTGACATTGGCATTTTACTTCTAACGATATTAAAATGTAACTTCTATTATGGTCTATCGTATATTAAGTGACTATTGCATTGTCAATCTTCATGAATTTTGTATTTGGGGTGTATACATTGACCCCTACTGGTAGGTTTTCATTTACTAAATGTAATAAAGATTACTTTTATTTTTGCAAATCGTGTACTCTATGAATAGGGCCTGATGAGGTAGATCTGTGATTTTGATTCCAAAGAAGAAAGCCAGTTTCATTTGCTAACTCCAAATGAGATAGAACAATAACTGGGGATTTCTAGTGGTAGGAGCATGAAGAACAGGGTGGTTGCAAACAATTCTGGTATTGTTCTACCTTTCCAGCTGGGGAATCCAATATGCCACATGTTCTTAATCCCATGGAAAATAATCACATTACAATTTAAAATACAAATGTACTAACATTTTAGGTCTCAGTAAATTTCTTGCTTGCAAAATAATTACACCCTAGGCAAGAAGCTAAAATAGTTCAAATTATTTTGTAAAAAGCAACACGTACGCAATGCATTGGACTTAACATGCATGCAAGTTACTTTCTATCACTAAATACTTCAACTGACTTCACTGAAGCTGTAAAACAATATGTATCTAAAGCCATTTCATCTGAAAAAACAAAAAGGACAAAAGTAACAGTGGCCATTTTCAAAGCTGGTCTTTTAATAATTTTACACTTTAAATCGGGTATGCCAATTACTTACCAACTGCAAGGTTACTCTGCTCCAGCTCGTTCATAGCAGAGTGGCACTGTTTGCAAGTCAGTGCTTTTAAACTGTTACTGAAACCACAGTTCTTACAGGACCAAACACAGTAGAACGTAGCCTGCCTTGAACTGAAAAAAAGCAGACAAAACAGTTATAATTTATTTTAAAATATATATACACACAAAATGTAGATATTGTTTATGTTAAGCGTATCTATGCTATACAGTAGCCTAAAACACAAACTCATACACACACAAATATATATATTACTCACCAAAACATATGCAATAAGCTGTAGTTGTGTGTGTAGTGTGTGTGTGTGTGTGTGTAGTGTGTGTGTTTGTGTAGTGTGTCTAAACTGGGTGAGGGGAGGGCATTTATATTATTTTAATTTTATTTATTTTTATTTAATTGTTTTTTTTTGTATATATATATGTGTGTATATGTATATATGTATGTATAGTATCAGTGGCAATACCAAAAGGGATGTTTTTCCTCAATAAGAACAGGTAGCCTGCAAAAAAAAAAAAAGTTTAAAAACAGATCCACCCCACTCTCAAAAATGCCTTAAATACCTTACTCCGAGAGTGCCCACCAATAGTAACATGAATTTACCAGAACATTACCAGCTTACTGCAAAAATAAAATAAAAATTAGTTTAATGAAAAGCGAGGGAAATATGTACTGCCACTAATACTATGAATTTTTTTTTGTTGTTTTTTTTTTTTTACAGTAAGCAACATTTCTTGTTTTCCCTACGTTTAGCTGCAGTACCAAAAGAGATTTGGCAAAATCCAATATGGGTGGGTTAAATCACAACTGCTTGCAACACAGTTTGCCTGTAGTGCCTGACATTTGTTGAGAGACGACCATATAGTGACCTTACAGAGGTCTTCTGGAGATGCATGCGCTTTCTCTGCCCATGTGGTCGCCATTACACGAGTAAAGTCTGCTTTGACTTGCAGCAATTTGCATGGTCTTTCGTTAATGGTTTCCTTAATCAGGCAAGAGTGGCTTTAGATGCTGCTTTACCTTTTGCTTGACTTTTAAAGCCAATAAGAAGATGGAATGATCTGCAAAAGGAAACTACTCTGTTCAGGTAAGTTTGAGTAGCCCTTTAAACATACAATGAGTATAGTCTGACTTCCTTCAGTGAACATGGATTTTGACAAAAGGTAGTACTATTGTCTGGTTGATGTCATTTTTCCTTAATACTTTAGAGCGAAAAGAAGCTTTTAAATGTAGGATCACTAAGTCTTAATGAAAAACTAAATATTGTTCAGAATTTCAGCTACTCTCTTAGCTGAAGTGATAGCAATTAAGAAAGTAATTCTTACTAATAAGAACTTTAATTAGACTTCCTGAAGAATTTAAAAAGGACTTTTGGATAATGTGTTGAGAACCAAGGACAAATGTGGACTTAAAGGGTGCAGACGCAGAAACCTTTATCGAAACCAGATTGAAAATATTTTAAAATATGTGGAATAGTAGTATTCAAATCATCACAAACCTCTTCACTGCACCATAGGAGCAATGTATTACAAATCCGCAAATGATTTAAAATGTCTATTTTCTTGCGGAGTTAAGAATTACTTCTTTAGAATGACCTTAACTTTCTAGGATCAGTCTTGCAGAAGCCATGCCATGAGTTTGAACAGAGTTTCCAGTGGTTTCTCAGTCGTAGTGCCTTGAATTGGAAGTGCAGCATCTTCTGGCCTGACCTAACCAAGAATCTCAGGAATTGTCTCGATGCCCGTTCATCGGGACATGGAGATAGGCGCCGTTTAGGATCAATGAGGCCATTATGTCTCCTTGTGGGTTACTGAGGAAGGTTTCCATGCAGAACTGATATGCAATCCATCTGTTTACCCTGTTTAAGTCCACAACTGGAGAAAAGGAGCCATCTGGTTTTTCTACCAGTAATAACCTGGGCTAAACACCTACAAATTTGTCTTTGTCTGCACTTTTTCTATAACTCCTTTTCTTCTTAGCTTGAAAGTTTCTGAAAGGAGTGCTTTTTTTTGGTCAGATTTTTTTGTTCTTGAAAAGAGAAAGAGTTGTTGGTCTTTCGGTAAACCTTATTTTGCAGTCATTCCTGATGGTTTCCAAAATCCATGAATTGTCAGTTTCCTTCCATTGGTCTAAAAACATTTGTAACCTACCTCCTACTTTTCTTGCGGCTCCAGAATTTTCTCCTCTTGTTGTTTCTGCTTGATGTGTTCTTATCCCAAAATCTATTTACAGCTTGCTTACGAAAGGTGCAAATATTTCTTCCTTATAGAAATTATTTTGCTTTTGCCCATGGTAGAATGATCTCTTATTCTAAGTCTTTTTTCCCCCTGAGCTAAAGCCTTTTTAAAGTCTGACATTTGCTTAAAGGGACACTATAGTCACGAGAACAACTACAGCTTATTGCATATGTTTTGGCGAGTAATCATTCTTTTCAGGTTTTTTGCAGTAAACAGTCTTTTCAGAGAAAATGCGCGGTTTACACTATAGTCTAGGGATAACTACTGGCCACTCCTCAGATGGCTTCAAGTTGTGCTTCCTGGGGCAGTGCTGCACATTTAGTGTCTCCACTCTCTGCATGGAGACACTGAACTTTCCTCATAGAGGTTCACGGTTTCAATTATCTTATATACTCGAGTATAAGTCGACCCGAATATAAGCCGAGGCCCCTAATTTTACCACAAAAAACTGGGAAAACTTATTGACTCTAGTATAAGCGTAGGGTGGGAAATGCAGCAGCTACTGGTAAATTTCTAAATAAAATTAGATTCCAATAAGATTACATTAATTGAATATTTATTTACAATGTTTGTTTCCATAGAATGCAGTGTGTGTGAATAAATGCAGCGTGCGCGCCTATGATGCATGCAGTGTGTGTGTGAATGCAGTGTGTGTGTGTGTGTGTGTGTGTAGTGTGTGTGTGTTTGTGTAGTGTGTGTAAACTGGGTGAGGGGAGGGCATTTATATTATTTTAATATTTATTTTTATTTAATTGTTTTTTTTTGTCCCCCCTCCCTGCTTGTTCCCTGGTGGTCCTTACCTTTACAGCAGCTCCGGTCAGCTCCTTTCACCTCCAAGCCTACAGTTTTCCTTTAAGTCGTCAAAGCTGATCCACTGCACTTTGGAGGCTGAACCCAGAATGTCAGCCAGATTGCTCTACTTCCTACTGATGTTAGCCCCATGGTTGTTGCTTCTAGTTTGATTGAAACACCTGTCATTTTGGTTAAGACCTCATCAGCCAGTCTCATATTTCATAGCCGATACACCACTTCCTCAGATTCTCCTGTTAAGGAGTCCTCTAGGGCTTGAAGACATGCATTCATTGCCCTATTAACTGCTGCTCCTGTTAATAGAGCTTGCCCTGAAATGCTGCTGTCTGAAAGATTCTTTTACAAGAGGTTTCTGCCCTTTTATCCATTGCATCGTTCAGGGCTGCCACTTCTCCCATAGGAACAGTGTTTTTTTTCTAGTAAACAGTGCTATATGTATGTCGACCTTTGAGAGATCTTCCCATGTGTCTGTCTTCTGCAATTTAAAGAGGACTTTAAATTGCTTTGAGAGAAATGTGCGTTTCTCGGTGTCTTTCCATCATATCCAAGTATGCTTTCCTGTACTGGAATAACCTTCTACCTTGTATCCTGATATATCCTGTAATTCCAATGTCTTACTTACCTCCTTAATACATTTAATAGATTCATGTAGTTAACGCGGGCGTGCATTCCACCATATTTGCACCTGCATACCAAAACACTTCCAGCATAAAATTCCACCCACCCAGGTCGACCTAATTTTTTCCACCTCCAGCGTGCACACATCTTTCCCGGAGTTCAGATCAAACAACCAGTGGGAGGATTGCACTGCTCCCTCAAAGGGATAACGTAGTATGAAATTAAATTGGTAATGCATATAAAATGGCAAAAATAAATGTCTACAGCTGCAGTAAATTCCTGATGTGGGAAACATACCCATTGTAGTCCTTGATTTAATAAGATCTGCTATTTATTGCCAGTTTATTGATTCTGGATGATCCATTTACAGTTGAGATCAAAATTTTTCGACCTCCATTGAAAATCAGGTTTATTTTTAAAAACGACAGACCTTTAGCTGTTTGCAAGTAACAAATCAAACAAAAGCAATTACAATAACAACACAACAAATGCTTCAAGTGGTTTCCCCAAATTCAACTGAAAATACAACTTATGACTTCTTCAGTCTCAAAATGATTCAACCCCTTCATGGCAAGTACCTTTCGTACTTGGAGCACCTGTTTGCCGTCATGACCTGCTGCAAACAACCCATAATTTTTTTTTTCTTTTTTCAAACTACCTGCCCATCAGCAGTACTAGCATCCAGCGGGTCAACAGTTTAACCCCTTAAGGACACATGACATGTGTGACATGTCATGATTCCCTTTTATTCCAGAAGTTTGGTCCTTAAGGGGTTAAAAAAAACAAAAACAAAAAAAACTATATGGGTTGAGAACATTTCTACCAAAAGGTGAGCAGTTTAATAGGCTTGAGTGTCAACTTGGGTAGACTGAGAACGCAGTTATTTGAACTAAATACAATGCAACAACAAAATCCATGCATGGGTATTTCACTAAAGACACTTAAAGCAATACTCCAGGCACCCAGACCACTTCTGCCCACTGGAGTGGTCTGGGTGCCAACTCCCATTACCCTTAACCCTGCAAGTGTAATTATTGCAATTTTCATAAACTACAATATTACCTTGCAGGGTTAAGTCCTCCTCTAGTGGCTGTCTATTAGACAGCCACTAGAGTGACGTCCGTGTTCTTAGAACACGAAAAGTGTTTTAAGCAACGCTGGACGTCCTCAAGCTATGTGAGGACCTCCAGCAACGCCGAAATCCCCATAGGAAAGCATTTAATAATGCTTTCCTATGGGGAGGTCTAATGCGCGGCCATCGCCGCACATGCACATTAGGTGTCCCCTGCCAGCTGACGTTGGCGGGGGAGGAGAGTAGACGGAGCCTGACCAGCGCCAAGGGACATCGGCGTTG